ATAATGGCAATTTCGTCATATCCTCTTCAGATAAAACAGCTTGTCTTTCTTCCTGGGGCTTTACCTCCTCCCTCGTTTTTTTAAAGACTTATAAATACATATAAAGTTTATATGCACAATACCCATCTGTTTTTATATAATAGTTACATAAACAGGCCACTCACCACCCATTCTTTACCAAGCCTAAGATCAGCTGCCTTCTGATCCTGGGTAAGACTCACATCCTTCACCAAGACCTCCCTGCTGTGCCCTGCAGCTCCTCCACTCGGAATCCCACCTGGAAAGGCTCAGGGAGATGCCTCTCCTGAGGATATTAACCACAAACCAACCATCCACTTCACTTAACCTTTAAGCAACTGGGACATCAAAAAAGCTGCCTTGAGTGAGCATTACTGTTAGGCAATAATATTAGTAATTAGGCTGGCTGCTTTCAAACATCAGCTTTGAGCACATTCCAATTCCTCACATTATAGAAACTTGGGACCCAAATGCAGCGTGCTCCAAATATTACAGAACAAAAAAGCATGCCTTTGGAAATCAATTCCTAACTTGTGTTTTTTTCTGTACGTTATAGAGGGAAAACCCTGGGAAAAGCACAGCTCGTCGATTTGTCCTGCATGAAGGTCATTGCTTCAAAACCTGGGAGTGACACTCAGTTCAACCTCTGCATGCTGAAGTCAGTAAGTGTTGTTGATTTGTGTGCTCCAATATGAGCGTGATGAACACGATAAATCAGAATACTGAAACCCACAAAACGTGTTGAAAGCAGCAGCTTATTAACCCGTGTGCTGTACAGCAGCCCAGTCCTACTGGGGCATCTCAGACTGATGCCTGTGGGTACTTGTGAAGCTCAGGCAACACTTACCTGTGGAGCAAAACATCAAATCCTGGGGTGGATGGAAAAGCTTCACCTAAAATATATTTCAGAGCCAAAATACACGATCACACAGTTCAGTACGGAATTTACAGAGTGCTGCATCATCTCTCTCAGCCTTAAAAGACTTTTAGCCTCCCCAGCTGACAAGCACACGCATTTTAGAACAGCTCTAGAACTGCTTCACATCACCAGAAATTCACTGTCCAAACAGCTCTGTAAGAACTATTCCCTGAACTTGAAAAAAAAAAAAACTAAAATGATGGCACTCTGCCATCTGCAAAAAATGTACTGCTACAGCCTGCAAGAGCTTAGAGACTGTGCCCTTGAATAGGAATGAAGGAGAAAAGTGGGATGTAAGGAATAGAGCATCTCCTTGGTCTTCCATCTCACTTTAAAAATAAATATCAATATTAGCTACACACAACTGTCAGCAAGGCTCAAGGGAAGACAAACAGACAAAAAACCAAGCCTTTTTCAGTGAGAAGATTTCAAAGCCACCAATTTGCTCCATGCTTAGATGTTCTCAATAACAAGCTCAGGTAAGAGATGTACAGGGAGGAGCGAGGAACTTACTGCAATTACTGTCTGTTGACAGCTGTGGCTGAAAGGCCAACTTCTTACTCCGAAACGTGCACACCCTCCTCCAGCATAAGTCTGGTTTGCTCATGGAGTATTTCCCAAGGCGGCTGCTTGTAGCACCCCCCGGTTCCCGCCCTGAGTCAGGGACTCTTATCGGGCTCATTAATGCCTAATACACACCAACCCAGTCACAGGGTAAACGGCAGAGCACAGGTTTCCTCATTGTTTCTTCAAATGGGTGTTCCTTTACAAAGCTTCATTCACATCCCTCTGGAGAAGTGCAGCGAGGGAGAGGCAGAGGAGCCTTTTACTTTCCTAGTGGGCACTGACAGCTATCAGGGAAGTACTGCCAGGGGACACCACGCACTTGATAGTTCAAGTCAGTGATTACCTTAGGGACCTCGTTGTCAGTCTGCCTCTAGCTTTTGATCTTTCAAGGATAATTCTGATCCCACTGTCCTCTGTGCCAATTCAACACACTGGTTTTTGATCCTGGACTGTGTTCCACGTGCACGTAACATTTGATTCCCTTAGGATAAGGGGTACACAGCCACAACCATCTCCTTGCCTTTCATAGAGCAGCACACACCTCACGCAAGAAGCATCTTTAAACCCTGTTTAATTAATTAAAACGTCACGCTGGCTCCCATAGGGGACGACTAACTCTGCCTACCCTGAGCTCGGCAATGGGACCATCGGCCCTCCCACCGCGACGGAGCCGAGCGACGCAAGCTGTGCTCAGCTCCATCTCCCCGCAGCCGGGACGGGAGCGGGGAACGTGCCATCCCCAGGCATTCTGGCCGCTGCCCCGACACCCTGCCCGTCAGTCCCGGCGAGACCGACCCCGCCGTGCCGGAGGGAGCCGCAGGGCGCCGCAGGGAGCCGGGCAGCGCGGTGACCTCCAAAAGCACCCGCTGGCTCCCGCTCCTTGGCACAGCCATCACTGCGACCGCCCCGGGGACACTGCGCCAAGCGCAGCGCGGGACGCTGCCCGGGAGCGAGCCAGGAGGGGGAGCGGAGCCTGGGCAGGGCTTGAACAGGTAGCACACGCTCCCTGCAGCGACTGCAGCTGCCCCGGCGAGCGCTGTGCCAGCACGGCAGAGCCCCTGCGGGCACATTCTGGACGCTCCAGCTGCCGGCATGGGGCTGCATCTCCTGCGCTCCCCCATCCAAGCGTTCCCCCCCAAAAAAAACCGCAGGGACCCGCAGGCGGCAAGTGCGGCTACAAGGATTTACACACGCCATCCACTCACTGCCCGGAACCAAAATGTGAATGCAGACGGGACAGAGCACAGCAGGAGCAATGTCTCCTTGCCCTTCACACACGACATGGATATTCAGCGCCCACTGCTACGTGCTATCTTTAAAGCGGTGCTTTTCTAACTTGCAAGAAGTTAGAAAACAGGTGCAGATTCTGAACATCCACAAAACAGAGCTACCATGTCCCCCAGAATGAAAGAGCGGGCACCTCATAACACTTCAGAACACCCTGACCTTCACCTCCCCTTTGACTACTGAATTACTCCCCTCTGCCTCTTTTTTTTAAGATGCTCCTCATGAGCAGAAAACTAGAGCTTTTCAGTCAAGTGCAGGCATTCTGGTTTGGGAAAACAAACTACGTGATTATTTCGGGTGAGGGGTAAAAAAGGACAAAAAACTGCCGGCAAGGCATTAGTGCCACTACTGAGGTGCCCAGGTATCCTCTGCTGACCAGGTATTTTGGGCTTGGAAAAAACACCCCTAGTTTTTCCCTAATACTTCTCTAGCAGACAAAGCGCACTAGGCTACTCCACAAGCAGTTCTGGAGACTGCAAGAGACCCAATAACTTGAAATAGTAGCTTAAATTTGCCTGCTAGAAGCTGTTGTCTGCAGCCACATAACCCTTCTTTTCTGATCACCTCTGGGCAGGAGTGTAATTTATGAGAGCTCCTGAAGCATCACCAGTCCCAGCCCAGCCCAGAAACGTGAACCAGCTCTGCTTCTGGCTCACCTTAATGCACCAAACTCAAAGCTGCAGAAAATAAATCAGCCAAGGCTCTCACCTCAGAGCTGCAGCAGGAGCAGGGAACAGCCGCAGCACTCGCTATCCAGTTTGAAATCTGCCAGAGCAGAGCCACCGTTCCGAATTTTATCTCGCTGCACAGCAAGCACCGACTGATTGCCCAGTAATTAACCTACAATACATTCCACGGGGGATTATGTGTAACACCTTAGGCACGGACAAATTCCCGGATAAAAGAGGAACATGCTCACTTTGCTATTTCTCTCCTGAACCTTCAAACAAATCTCCTGCTTACGACTCCAAAAGAATGAACTGCCCAATAAAACTGAAGACGAGGTAAATAATGACAAATAATTACATTCCCCCCACCTCGCTTTTTCTGGGAGAAGAAATAAATACCAGTTTGGAAAAGGAAGAAAAAGCTCAATCCAGGCCACCAAGTTTTCCTGGAGGGAATAGGGCTGAACTTGCAGACAGCACAGCAGGTACCTTTAGCCTGCTTCCTCAGGATACCTGTGCAGCCTGACCCTTTCCAAACACAGGAGTGTACACACAGGAAGAACCTGTTAGCAGCAACACTGTTCTGGCCATCTCTGCTAATACCCTGGAGCGCAGACAAGAGCAGTTTTCACGTGAAAAGCGAAGGCAGAACACGGCATTTGAACAAGAAAACTGTCGAGCACTGCAGGTCTATCATCCAGCCATAAGCATCCATTAACATGCACCTCCAACTCAACATCTACCCTTTCATGGACGCAGGAAGTGCAAATGACGTGGTGCTCCACGAGATTCTGTTCTGCCTGCCACTCACCACCGTGCTGCTGAACAGGGGCATTCTCAGCTATCAGGTATCAAAGATCACCTACTATACTGAAGTAATTAAACTTAATAATTAATCTGTGCAGCCAGGATTTCTGGAGCCAGTGCAATCACTGTCACTGTTGCAGTACGTGATGGCCAGCACGTGCACAGGATAGCATTCACATCTGGGTGTAGCAGTGGTGCCATTTAGGTCAACTCACACCTCCATATCTTGGCCTGTACAGTGTTTGTGTTTTTCTTCCCACACTTACATACATCTAAGTTTTAAAGACATTTTTACTTATCGAACCCAAGGGAAGCAAAAAAACACCACAGAGAACACTAATACCATGAAGTTATAATGTCTAACTTATCAGCAGGCATCTTTAGGCGTAAGCAGTACTCATCCATCCTCCCTCCTTCCCATTCTAACCCATGTTTGGGTAGAAGCTACCCATGTGATTTCTGAGACTGTTTTTCACCTCTAATGCACCATTAAGCACTTCACTCAAAAGCAAAATACTTCCTGCAGCCACAGAAGACTCATTTGGGGGAGTTTTTGTCTCACAGTTCCTCTCACCACCACCCCAAGCAACTTCCAGTGACTCCAAGAGTATATTCCACCAAGCAACAGCAGGACGCCAGATCCCATTTGACATTCACCGCTTAAAAACCGTCACTCGTGACATGAGGTGAACCAGAAGCCACAGAAATGACTGTAAAAACTCAGCAAACCTTACTTCTGGCAGAGGGCTGGCCGGTTTGGTGAGGATCCCTCCCACGTAGACGACGTTGGGAAGCGTCGGTCTCGGAAACTCCAGCGCTACATCAGTACAAAGCATCCACAGGCTGGATCCATGAACCAAGTCGTACATGGACCGTTCGGGAAGAACCTTGTGTTTCTGCATTATCCGTTCGTATTTTGGCAGAACCAAAAAACTGACTCCAAACCTCGAAATAAGATAAACAACAGTGTTTTTAATCCTCTCCAAGAGGTTCATGTGATCCGTGAGCAGCGAGTTAAATTCGGGAACGTAGGACAGGGGAGCTGGAGCACCCACTTCTGCTGGATACCAGAGGCCAGTGGAAAACACGGCGTATTTAACCCCTAAAAGATGGGCTATAACAAATCCGCACATCTCATTGGGATCGACCAGGAGCAGGTCAAATTTTTCCTGTTTCAGGGCACGCATGAGGTTTTGGTTGCCGACCATCATGTCGCAGTTCTTGGAGTAGTGGTCCAAGATGTCGAACAGTTCGAGGGCTGTCAGTCTCCCCGAGAAGATACTCCTCATCTTGGACTGCAGGAAATCATCCGAGGTGCTGCTGTTAAAGATCCCTGGGTAGCGCTGAAGTCTATAGTGATTAGATGGAGGAATCTCTCTGCCCTCAGAGAGGAGAAACACTGTCTGGTGACCTTGGTCATGCAAGGCTGAGGCCAGAGTCTTGAAAATATAAAGATGGCTTTCAAACATAATTGGCGGCACGACGACGATTTTGGCAGCCCTCGCTATCCCGACGGCACTCCACAGGAGAATGAAAGCTGGAGCGTACGGCTTCATAGCTGGAACGGGAAAGACAGGCATTACAGCAACACACAACAGATTTGTCATCCAGTGGGGAATTTAAAGCAACTTATTATCTGGCTGTCCCATGAAAACTTATCCTGTCTCCCCGTTTTGAAGGCATCCTTGCAGTGGTCACAGGGAACAAGAGAGACCCAGTTTCAGAGGCAGTTGGCAGCGCCCTGTTTCCAGTGAGATCTGCCTCTTCCCCACCCCTCCCTTTCCATCTGGCATGAAGGGTAAACAAGAGACTTCTTCCAACACAGACAGGGATATGGCACCTGCATGAAACAGCAGGGAAGCCGAGTGAGACAGTGAGGTTGGCACCCTACCACACGCGGCACTTCCGAAGTGTAAACATCACCCGACAGCTCCCACATCTTCACGTCAGCCCTGACAGCTGAATCCAGCTACACTCGTGATTACACTTAAAAGCACAACTGCATAATTGTTAGTAGAATTTATTAAGTGGTTAAGAAAGATGCTAAGTTCAAAGATCCAAAGGCTTAAATGCTGTACTTATTCACCCATGAGTCCCAAAGGAAGCACTGGTGATTTTCAGTGCATAGGATGTAAGATGAATGAGAGCAAATACAACTCAGTTCCTCAACTGGAACTTGTACATCCATTTCGCAGCCTGAGCACACCACACTTCACACTGCTGTTAACATGGTTATGAGCATTCCTGCTACAAGCTCTTGTCTGATCATTTCCCACAGGCTCCAGGCTGCCCTCCTCCAAGTTGCAACTCTGGTCTGATTTAAGGATAACATCTTCTGAGATTTTGTTTTTCATATAAGCCAACAGGAATAGAGAAGATTAAGCTAGTTTGGTTTTTTCCTCCTAAAAGGACATGCAAATCCATGCAATATTGTCCTTTAGTGTCAACACTGATCTAACAGACAGGGATGCAAAGTCACAGTCAGGCAGGAAAAGGCTACCACAGAGTAAGAACCGACTTTCCTTTGAGTTTTCAAAAGTTACACTTTGTATGAGACAAGAGGTAGTAACAGGAATTAGTACCACACACGTGAACATCTCAACTTCCATTCAAACAGTTGGACAAGTACTTGATCCTGAACCTACTTAAACGAGCACTTGAACACCCACTTGAGCACCAGCTCTAACCTACACTCAAACTGCCATCCTGAACACAGCTCCTGACAGCAGCAGGCTGCTGGGGGACAGGGAAACATTTCTTACACACTTGTTTTGGCAATTTAAACCCCTTTATGCACCAGATAAAAGCCAAGTGTGTTAAAAGCACAGAGAGGGCATGTCAGAAACTCCTCAGTCACCATAACCCTCCTAGGACAGAGAAACAAGCACATGCCAAACCAAACAATCTGCTCTTTCCTCGTGCCAAACCAATCCATGCAGAAACCTGAGTCTGTTGCAGTGTCCTTTACAGATAAGAACAACAGATAATGCTGCTGCTCAGTCCTCATCTCCTTACAGTGTAGTCTTATAACTGTTCTACAACACATTGCTCAGGACTCTTTTTAGGTTGGTATTTTTTCATGTTGTGTGCGTTACCAGCTCACAAATAGAGCATCTCATATTTTGTGTAATTAGATATAAAATACTATAATTATACTTACTATATACTATATGGTTACCATATAATAATGTGGTAATTCAGGTTTATTACTACATAACTAAGTTTCTGAAGGAAACCTCACCAGAAGCATGTGAGAAGCTCGCTATGCTGCACCACTGTCACCGACATCAGCAGAGGGCTGTGCAAGTGCAGAAGTGCACAGGCTTGGTGTAGTGCCAGCAAGCCATGGAATCATTTAGGCTGGAAAAGGCCTCTGAGGTCATCTAGTCCAACCTTGGACTGATCAGCACCTGGTCAACTAGACCAGAGCACTGAGTGCCACATCCAGTCATTCCCTGAACACCTCCAGCATTGGTGACTCCACAACCTGCCTGTGAAGTCCATTCCAATACTTGACAACCCTTTCTTTCCATGAAGAAATTCTTCCTGATGTCCTCTTGTGCTGTCACTGTTTGCCTGGGAGAAGAGGCCAACCCCAAGCTTGCCACAGCCTCCTGTCAGGGAGTTGCAGAGAGTGAGAAGGTCACCCCAGGCTGAACAACCCCAGCTCCCTCAGCTGCTCCTCACAGGACTTAACTCTCCAGACCCTTCCCCAGCTCTGTCACCCTTCTCTGGACATCCTCCAGCACCTCAACGTCCTTCCTGAAGTGAGGGGCCCAGAACTGGACACAGCCCTCAAGGTGTGGCCTCAGCAGTGCCCAGTACAGAGGGACAGTCACTTCCCTGGTCCATGTTCAGCCACCTTCAACAGGTCCCTGCTGCAGGATAACACTCCTTAGGTAAAGAGCGGTTTAAAAAACCCAAACCCCTAAATAGTGGTTCAGCAATGAAACATCCAAGAAAAATGATTAATCAGACTTGGAAAAAGCCCGTTATTGATTCCATGTCCCCATGCTAGAAGCATTCCCACGGTATTGAGTTACTGCTCCTGTCAACAATAGCCATATTACAAAACCATGAATGGAGGAGCAGGATTGGGAAACTCAGTGTTTCTATCAGCAGCAGAAATCAAAGGCTGCAGCAGCCTACGGGCTACTCATGATCCAACAGATTGCCAGCTGCCAGCTCTACTCCCATCTCCTGACCCCATACAGGCCCGGAGCACAGCGCAGGAAGATAATCCTTAGCCCTAAGGCCTATTTTCCAAGGCCAGGGTTATGCACATGCCATCAAAAGCCATGGGAATTACAGCTGTACTTCCCTGGAATGCTGACAGTGCCGCCCCACTGCTTCCTATCCCCACACTCACCGAACAAACACATTTTGAATGGGAATGATATTGGATATTTTATTCTTCGTGAAGGCATTTTAAAGCACTGCCTACCTAACATGAAAATCTGACCATGCACCTACAAACAAATTACCTTTTTCTTTTTTTTTTTTTTTTTTGCAGGATATCGGTGCCAAGAGATGACAACACACTTCCCTGGCAGTCTGTACCTCGTGGTATCTTCAGAACTGGTAAAACAATCATCGCTTCTCCAAAACCTATTATGCAACTCCCCTTTTCGACACAAGCACCTTCCACAGCGACAGGAAAATATATGTGCAGGCCCTGCCAAGCCATAGGGATATTTAAACACATGATGCTATTAGAGAAATGCCGATTAAGTGACATTTTTACTGGGAAAAATGGCATTGACCTTCTATCGAACTTCTGGCAGGAACCTGCAGCCTCATCATTTCATGCCCTGGCCTGACAGAAGTGGGAGCTCGGAAGGCTTCAATTTAACAGGACCAAGGGCAATAGCATTTTGTAAACCACCCAGGCAGAGGGGGCTTCCCAGGGGTCAGGAAAACACTGAGGTGGCACTCAGCTGGAAGCCAGCTCGTCACAGCCACGGGGACTCTTCCCACCAACTTCCAGTCACGCTCCAGCAGTAAACTCCCAGAACAAACCACTCGCCAAAACAAATAAAAAAGATCAACAGTCAATGCAACTGCCTTCTGTCCCTGCACACCTGGAGCATGACAAAGAATTGTCAAGTGTCCCGACAGAAAAGAGGAAAAGAAAGCCCAAAGCCAAAGGATGATGAGTTCCTCCAGGATCATTAATATAAAATCGTTTTGTGCCTCTGTCTTAAATCTTCCTTCTTAGGATTTGCCTCCGTTAAATAAGACTGTTTCGGGGTCTGAGTTGGCGTGTAACATCCACTCATCAGAGAGGGAAAAGAAAAATCCCAACTTGCTAAAATTTAAAGAACAACAAAACCTCCAACCAACCAATAATGCCCACAAAACAGCCACTGAATCAAAGCCATTACTTTCAGCCAAAAAGCCCTAAAAGCCATGGTGTGGAGGAAAAAAAAAATAAACATGCAGAGTGGCTTTATAGGAGGGAAAGCACATGCTGACTGCAAAGGGTTCACCTACTGGAGCACACCAAGAAAAAGTTTAATATTAAAGACAGACCAAGTCAAACATTAAACTTACTCCAACAGTTGCTCATTAAGTTAATGACCTACATGTGGGGTTTTTCAAATGAAAGGGAAAGTGTGAGTTTTAAAGTGTTACAGAAAACCAGGCACACTCTACAAGACAGCTGACCAAAACACTTATAAATCCTGATTTTTTAATGTTTTTTTTTAAAGGAAGTATTTTTCCATTCACCCAGGAGGACCAAGCAGGATCTAGAACAAGAAGTGTGACTACACAGAAAATAGTGACTTCTAAGGGGAAAAATAAGAGGGAGGATACTTTCCCCCCCATAGTTCACAAAGCTCTGATATTTGAGAGCTGGGCAATTGTGGAAATAAACTGAATGACATTTAGGTTTATATAAATTACATTAAAAAGTCTTAATGCTTAAATTATTACTATAGGAATTAAGTGGCACTATTTTACATTAATTCCAATTAATTCCTGTAACAGTCAGATACAGTGCTGGAATACATACCCAAAATGAGATTTAGATTTGCTGCCAATCCTTAATAATCTGCTAATCACTGCATCATTAAAACTTACAAGCACGTTTGGGGTTTTTTTTCTGCTTTATACTGCTGGCTGCCTACCTGCTACTTTGGAATGTCTCACAAATAACCACTTTCAAGCCAGCAGTATAATTATTGATGTGTTCCTCCGTTGTAGACAGGTCCAGAAGCAGAAGAGGCTCTCCAGCACCTCCACACACAGCACAGCTTGAATTCAAACTGCTCCAGTGTTTATCACTCTGAAAAGAGGAAACAGTTCCCAGGCACTTACACCTAAGGATGTAAAAAGTCCTTTTTATATTCACTAGTAAGACACAACACTCCCGGCTTTAAAGCAGCAAGGGAGGTTTTACAGAGCTTGGGTTCAGCGATGCCACTCGCTTTTTTAAGTCCTTCCCTTCCTTTCAGCCTCTGTTTAGGTTTGCTAAGGTTTGATGAGTTTACCTGGGCAGCTTGAGCAGAACCTCTGCCGGGGAAGGTGCCCTTCATCCCAGACAGCGGCGGAGGAGCAATCTCGGAGCTGCTGATCACTCTCACCTTCCCCAAAGGGCTCAAATTACTCATTACAGTTTAACAGAGACGGCACACCTTAAAGGAGCAGGTTCACCGAGCGGGGATGCTCATTAGCACCCAAATGACTATGCCCAAGTGGAAAGCTGATGACGTGCACCCCAGGAGTACGGT